TACTTTAAATTAAAGTATATGAGGCAAGAGGAAATTCAGCGGGTCCTTCCATGACACATGCAGTTGCATCACAACCTATGATGTAATTTATTACAGTGCTACCCAAGGCTTGCATCAGTAAGTGGTTCATAATTCTGTGGTGCTGTCTGCAAACACGTGCAACAAAGCAGTAGCTGAATCGGAGAATGTAGGAGAGGTGGAGCAAATAATGAAGTCTGGGCTACAGCTGTTATTTTCACTGTAGAAAAAGCTTTAGGATCAGTACATCTATTATGGCTATGTCTGCTGAGGCTGAACTCATATTTCCCAGTGACCACGAAAACTTCAGGCAGTCAGCTGAGTGTCCCCTTCCTTTCAGTGCATTCAGTTACATACTCTTTTATAAAAAAGTGCAACAGTTGTTGATAACCAGACCTCTTGAGCTGCCTCTTTCTTTTTATTTTTTTTTCCCCATCTCCCCACCTATAGTAAATTTACTGCTGACTAAATTGCAGGAGTGACAACATTGTCCATGATTGGGTTGAGAGGGGCTGTGCAGATGTGGCTCATCAGGCTTGTCTTTCTCAGCTGCATAGGAAATTTTTCACTCTAAATCATCACCTTCTAAACTGGATTAAACACTTAAATTACCATGCACTATTCCACAGATTTCTTCTTTCTACATCCACAAGCTCCCCCTTCCCTCTCTCTTTATCTCAGAAAAAGGAGCTGTTCTGCTATATCCAGCATTGTCTTCTGGAGGCAACTGGCAACCGTTTCTTTCCTTATAATTCCCTGGTTTGTCCCAGTATCCTCTGTGCCGACAGCTATGCTGTTCAGATGCAGACTTAGATGGGAATACGTTCCAATGTCTCTACGTGTAACGTTTGTCTTCTAACTACCAAATATCCGCATGAGTATTTCTAGCACACGCCACCACTGCTAATCTGAACGCAAGAAAACTTCAGAGAGTATTCATTCCTTATAGTGTATTACAGGACATTATTTTTACAATATGATCAGGGAAGTTATACTGAGGCATTTTTTTAAGGTCTGATTTTTGGGAAGGATTTGAAAGAGCCTTTGGGCATGTAGCTCTCAAAGCTGAAATCCGTGGTCTTAAATTTCTACAGACTTATGAAAAAACTTGCTCTTGCAAGTTCTGCTGAATACAATACCTCATTAGTGCTGCAGGTGTTGTGGTGGTGCTTCACAACTACCTGGAGACAGCGTATAGGAGGGGATTAGGGAAAAAAGTGTAATTACTTAAGTTAACGCAGAATGTAACTACTAATGTGTTTCCACCCTGTCAGAAATGTGCTAAATGTAGATGTAGAAAATTTCAGCGTATGTAATTACAGCCACAGCTTGCACTGTCTAAAGCAAGAATAAAATACCAGTGCTGATTATTTTCTGCATTTGTAACTTAAGTCTTGGGAAGTTATTGGTCTTCTCACCAGCATGTGGACACAGTCTAAAAGAGAGCATCAATTTCTCCATGTGCTGAAATTTCTTTATAATGGGAATGAGGCACACAGGATCTATACCAAGCCAGGCAACACATTTGAAAAATTCCGGTAATTTACTTTTGGATTTGAGGAACCTAGTTTTAACCAAATGAACTGGAACCCACCTACATTACATCATTTTCCAAAAAGCTTGGTATGCAGTATTTCTTAAAAGGATTCTGAGTAATGTATGAATCTTATAGCAGCTTTTAATTACATCAGTTCAAGCAGCTGGATATGAATCGCCCTTTTCTGTAAATTCAGCTGGGCCATAAGAATTGCTTCAGATATGAAATATGAAACCATCCATTTCAGAAATAAATTTTCATTTGCAGTTTAAAATGGTAAACAAATTTTAAAATATGCAAGTTCTGTCCTTTTAAAGCAATTATATAGATAAATGTGTGATTCAGAGCATGTTTCAGTGGAATGGTGTCTATAATTACAGCGATGCACTGTGTATCTGGAGATACACATGAAAAGCCCAACAAAGGACAATTATATGCTGCCCTATTGATTGACTGATAACATATTTCATGAGTATACATTTACAATCCCTGCTTAAGAGGAAGCAAGTGTGCCCTTATACCATTTTCGTATGTTGAAGTACCCAATACCACCAGTCTCCTTGGAAAGCAGCTGCAGGAGGAAGCTTGCAGGAATTCATGGGAACCAAGCGCTGGCAGGCACTGTGCTGTGAGATGTCGAGAGCAGCTGTCTCTCCCAGAGGACTGATCAAATTAATCAGTTGATAGGGAGTATCTGGCTTTGCTGAGAGGCAGCTACTCCTGGATCCGGCTCTGTCACGTTCCTAGACCCACAGGAGCCAGGAGACGCTGCCTCTCGTAGGTCCTAAGAGTTGTGTCTGTGGGCGAATTGAGAGTTTCCTGGTTTCTGAATTTGGTAGAAGCTTGTGCCTAGTACGAAATCCAGAGTCTACTGATAATGATGGGCAGTGGTTTGTTCCTTGTGAATAATCTGTCTTATTATTTATGACATGGTAGAACAGAAATGATGGCTCAGCTAGATAAGCTAAAATACTAAAGTGTATATGGTATAGCAAATGCTGTGGCTCAAGGTGAGAAAAGCCTCACCTTGAGGACCCGAGGGCTGGCTTTGGGTGTTGGATCACCCCTCCACTCAGGTAATGTCCCCTCTCCATATTCTCACTCATTGCAGACACCTCCCTGCATATACTTGCCATTTACTTTTCACCTTTCTCCTCTGCCTGCCTACTCTCTGCATACTCACAATCACATTTTCACCCTGTCCCTTTTGTGTCCCTCAGGCTGTTGTCATAGAAAGGCCATGAGGAATGAGGGAACTGACTTGGGATTTTCGCTTCTGCAGAAGGATGGCTGATGCAAGGGAGCTCCTGCTTCAGGCATAAGTAAGGGGGAGGGTGGCACACCCACTCAGGGACTAATGCTGCCTTGGAGGGCATACCCTCGAGGTTGCTGAAATCTCTCATACAGGCTGGGGAAGCAGAGTTGTTCAGTTGCTCCTTGCCCTCTATGCCATTCCTTCTTAACGGGTAGGTCACCACCCATGGGTGGCCTGTTGGACCCAGTTAGCGTAGACATTTAAATTAGTTTTTGCACCTATTCAGGCTAGTAGTTGTATGCATGTTCCAGTATTGCTGCATATGATTCGCAGAGACTTGTATGTACGCTGAGGATTTTCTTTTGTTTGTTACAAGGTTTTACATCTCCATGTCAGAAGAGTCGTGGATGTTCTGATGGCTTTGCTTCTATGAGCGCCCGTTTTTCTCTCTTAATTTGCCACTAGTGCAATGGTAAACTGAAATACTGTGATGTTCTTTCCTGATTCTTAACAATTTAGAGAAATTTGGTTATTGCAGCTTCAAAACATTAGAATTTTGTGACACGAAGAGAGTGCACGTAGATCAACAGAGATGTGCCTCGGGCTATGGAAATGGGATCTCTCATGTGCTTTTAAATCCCACTGAGTTCTGCTTGAAGAAGGGAACTGCAATGTAATATCCTTTCATAAGTGCTAAGTATTTACACTTAATTAAATACTACTACTCAAGCCTTCTGGGTTGAGCGGCATGAAAAATATGATGTATTCAGACATGAATTCTTAAGAACTCTGCAACGAAGAGTGAATTTATTGTATTTGCTCTGCCATATTTTTGGAGTTCAGACTAAATAGGATTTGCAGAAGAGAAGAGAAAGAGAAAATAAGGCTGTTTGAAGTAAACAATTGCCTAGTGTGCTATCTATTAAGTTGATGAAAATGACTGTTGAGACTTGCTACATTAAAAAAAAAAAAACAACTGCAGCTCCATGGTTCATGCAGCTGGGTTATTTTCTCATTGTAAGAAGAATCTATATCTCACATTTGGGACTAATTATTAAAAGCTACAAATCACAAGGACTACTAGTAAATATTTCTCCTAAAATTTCCAGTGAACCTAAAGGAAAAAAAAATGTTGCTAGTGTATTGTTTATTGGAATGGTGATGTGGCACTTGCTGGACATCAGCATCAGCCATCTTTCTTCCAGTTTTTTTACTTGGTTGTGGAGTTAGAGCAGTCTTTACATGAGTACCTTCTCTCCCCCAATAATGTTTATATTTCTGGAAAAGATTGCTTAACGTAAGCAATGATAGTTGCTTCTAAGTTAATGATTACAGAAAATGTTGGTCGCACAAGACTCAGACTTTAGTTTAAAAGGAGTTTGAGAGGTGCACTTACTGCATATTACTGATATTTTAAATGAGCAAATAGCCAGTTATTGTATCATTTTCTCAGTAATTGTTTCTTCTTTCTGCCAGTAGGTAGGTTAGTTTTATTATCGAACAATAAAACTTCTCCATCCTAAGGTAGTTTCTGTGTTTGTCCAGCATCTACCATATAATTAACACTACTACAAATGTATTTACAGTAAAGATGTTTTAAATTTAAACTCAAAAGGTGATTTGAAAATAAAATTAGTCAGTTGGGGTTTTTGTAATTCAGGTGGGCTTAATTGTATGTATTTCTATAAATCTGTTGAATTCTGGGTGTAATCTTCATAAATTAGTATTTTAACAATCCTCCTACATATTTCTGGTTGTTCTCTGTTGTGGCTGCCACTGTTTTACTTGTCAAATTCTCTTCACCTGCACTGTCACCACCACCACCGTATTTTATTCATGCAGACCACAGTTAATGCTTATCCTTGGATAGTTTTCTGTACCTTTTAGCCTGCTGCTTATGTGTTTCCACAAACTGGCCTTGGAACAGGTGCCTGGAAGCAAAACAGTAAGGTTACCATTTCACCTGCTGTTTCTTTACTTTTCTTGGGATGGATTGAGAAAGAAACCTATTCTTTCACCATTGTGTGCAACAGACTGTTAGAAGACTTTTCTGTTTCACTGGCGTTATATGTTTCATTTTTGGTTTTAATGGGTATTGCCTAGGGCATCACTTATTTTCTCAGCCTTAAGCAGTGAGGAAAGTTTTGTACTGTGAAGATGTAATTTTTCTTTTCTAATTTTCTCCCGTAGTCTGCCATCTTCAACTTTCAGAGTCTCCTGACCGTAATCTTGCTGCTTATATGTACCTGTACCTATATCAGATCCTTTGCTCCGAGCTTACTGGACAAAAATAAAACTGGGTATGTAATCTCATAATTTTAAAAATGTACAAGATGTTTGGTTTTAACCGCAGTGTTTTTGTATCTTCTAATGGTGAGTGACAGTACCAATCCTATTTTGAAAAACTTTTTTAGGATCAAAATCTTCATTTTGTACCTTACAATAGAATGCAATAAAGTATTTGGAAGCGCATAGTTGCAGTTTTGTGGTAAGAATCTACTGATGACCAAAGCCAGATAATACTGTTTTATTATTTATCTTCTAGATTTGCAACTTTCTTGTTAGATGCTTATTAGAGATACAGAAATTAGTGTCAGAAAGAAAACATTTTCCTACATGCAGCTATTGCTGTAATGATTTATTGTTGATTCTTAGGGTGGGTAAGAAAACATTAACAGCAGAAGCTGAGTTTTTGTTTGTTTTCAAGATAGGCATTTTGGAGGTACAAGTTTGAAACACAGCTTTAGCAATAATCTGTAACTAAAACAAAATATTTTTCTAAGTAACGCTGTCCTTATGCATGGTCTCTTTAACTCACTGTTTCGTATTTTCTAAGATGAAGGAATTTCTGGAAGACCTTTTAAAAGCTTCTACAAAAGCTAACCTGTTTGGGTTTTTTTTGTTCTTTGGGCACTCTAATGTCATCTCTCATTTTTATTCCTAAAGCACACATTCCTAGGTGACCAATGTACTTTGGCCTTTGTGTTCCCCATTCTGGAACGTGCTTAATGTTGTGGGTCCAGTACTGCTGCAAAACAGTTCTTCTCTACCCTGCTCAGCAGCATGATTTTTGGGATGGTGGGAAATGGGGACAGCCAAGGAACCAAATCTGTCCCTTACTGACACTGTTAATACCCATTCACCTTTCGGCTTACCATTTTTCTTTGTGCTACAAAGAATGTGACTGGATGTTGGGTGCAATCAGCAGTATGCAGAACTGCAGTTTCAGTGCTGTGGTTTTAAAGTAACAACTGGGCAGTTTTGACGTAGAAACCACCAAGCCCATCCACAATATGTCAGTAATACTGTCACCTAAGGTGAATACAAAGGAGATAATGTTTAGGGAAGCAGGAGGTAATTCTAGCTGGAAAAAACACACAGGCATTTGGGCGCTAGGTGTTTGACTTGTCCACTTCTTCTATTAGATCATTTGCTGTTAAAAAAAATGTTTTTTTCCCCTAAGTATCTTCTGTCACTTCTGTATTTTATTTTCAGAAAAAGTGTCAAGTTTTAGATAGACACCAAGAACCTTGAGTGTTTGTCTTCTGAAAACCTTTGTTGTAACTGCTATTTTATATCTCTGGAATTGTTATTTTATCACACAGGTTTTCTTTTAGTGGTGTAGCATACCCAGAGAACTCTAGCTTTTTTTCAGTTTAGAGTTCCAACATGAAAATACTTGTGTCCTTTCATATGAGGCTGTGTGAGGTTGCCACTGACACAAGAGATTTCTTTTTGATAAAAGTGAAGATGGAAAGAAAGGATGACTTCATGAAGGACTTGAGGGGGTGAACACAGGAGGGGGAGGGCAATTTGGGTGTCGGCTAGTGGAAGATAACACAATAGTCAATGAAGTATACACAGTAAGAAGTAAGATTATTTATTTTACTGATTAAAATTTTAGTGCTGTTCTTGGCAAGGAGTGTTTCCTTTAATCTGGAGCTACTTTGTTTATTCTTGAGGCAAATCTGTCTGGAGTACAATAGAACTCTCTTCATAAAATGTTTTCAAAGGGTGCTGACATAGTGGAGGAGTTGGGTGTTTGATCTGTAGGTTTGTGTTTATATAGATGTTGGACATACTATTTTATTATTGTTTTATATATACGTATGTAGACTACTTTGTACTGGAGAATAAAATGTTGGCCTGGAAACAGTGAAATTTGCTTCCTGAATGGTAGATGTTTACATGGAGCTCATATGCTGTTAAAACCCTGCCCCTCTTCACTAACATATTCCATGCTCAAATGGCAGTGTCTAGACATACTGGATAAAATACATTCTAGTGATATTTCATTTTACCACAGAGGTGATTTTACCTCACTGTTCCCGCTCCAGATTAATAGCATAAAAAAGTAGCAATAAAATATTGACGTGACAGAGAAGAGAAACAGTGATAAGCTATTCACTGTATTTCTGACTGAGTGGTAACTTTGGTGAAGATTTAAATCTGTTGATAGTAAGTAAAGAAACATCTTCCTGTTGGTTGAGAGAGGCTGTGTTGCAAAGTGATGTCACCCATTCTCATAACACTGTATTTCATCCTGTTGACTTCTGCCAAAATGTGTCGTTTCTTACCGAGCCAAACAGAATTTTAAACCTTCATTTTCCCTGATGCGTCCTGAGTGTTTCCATGTGCTTTGTCCTGAGCAATAGCATTTAAGGTGGGCAAAGCAAGTAGAGGTTTACTGTTTCATGCTAACTGGAGAAGAATTGTTGTAACGCAACATAATTCTCTCCTCCTGACTAACCAGAAAGCTGTGTTAGGAATCTCCACTGCATTTGAACTATGGCTCCCCATAAGCATTGCAGTGCAGTGTCTCTCACACACCCTTCTGCAGTGGTGCTGGAGTGTCCTGGTAAGCACATGACAGCTGCATTTTGCAGCATTCGCAGTGTAGCAGCCAAAGTCTAAAGCTCCACTAGCCCTTTTTCATCTTACTGACTTCCCTTTTTTTGTATTTTTTGTTCTCCAGATAGCCAACACCACTTTCACAATTAGTGCTTTTAACGTTAGCACTGAAAGGCAGGAATTGTGCACACTTGACTTGCAGCTGCCAGAAAACAGCAGATAGGCAAACCAGACAGACTCATTTCACCTGCATCAAAACAAGGATAAAGATGAACATGAAGGGGGGAATAAGGAACAGTGCGATTACTTTGAGCAGTTGCTTCAGGAGGAGTTATTTTGGAGCAGATTCATTCAAGGCAACATCATTTCTATAATAGTCAAACAGGTTTTGACTTGAAGAGGTAGATGTTGTGGACCTGAGATGAAAAGTAATGGAAAAATTCAGAAGAGCAGAAGGCCTGCACAGGCTTTTCTTCCAGTGTGTGCTCTTCAGTTCATCCAGAGGCTGTGATTATAGCTGTCTTAGAAGGTCCAGATTTCAACTTGCTGTTGCTCGAAGCAGACTGTGGACAAGCAGATGTACTGAGCTGTTCCAGTAGCGGTAAAAGCCTCTGGAAAAGGTACTGTTGTCTTCTGTTGTAAAGCTTGTCGGTCCTTGTCTCAGTGGTGACTTTAAGTTCATAAATTGTTAACTGCAGGAGGGTAGCTGATGAAACCCATATACGGACTGCTTTGTACCTCCCACATCAGAAAGGAAAATACATATTTTCACTAAGACAGGGATTTTGTAGGGCTAGGAACAATGTACAGTACTTTGATTATTATACTTTTACATTGTTACACATGGTCAAAATACCTTGAGAAGGCAAAGAAATACCCTTGCTGAGATTGTGAGGCAAATTCAGCAGATTTATGGACTGCTTGAAGGACTTAATATTCTTTTTCCCAGGTAAAATTCTTCAAATATGCATAGGAAAAGGACACTAATGTATTTCTTTGAGTTCCTGGGCAAGTTTTTGAGATATGGAAAAAAGTGATGCTGGGCTGTGGAAGTTTTTGTGTTGGTTTTGCAGCATGCAATCTGTAAATTTTACGGAAAGTGGCAATGTTTTTGAGAGTGTTAGGCACCATCTACAGAATACTATGGCTCTGTCTGTTTTATGAGATTTACACTTGAATGCCTTTTTATGTGTATCCATCTCCAAAAAGTGGGTAGAAGTTTTCAGGTTATTTCACTGTGTGCCCTCTTAGCCTCACAAAGTGTGACAGTCTATGTGCAGGAATTACTACATCTTCTTGTGGAGCTATATAAAAGCAGAAAATACAATCTTTGACTGTACAGAAATACTTTTGGCTTGAGCTAAAACGATCTAAAGCACAAGAAACTGTTTTCTAAAAATGAGAATGCTGAAATGCTGTTCACAATACATTGACATCAGTCAAAAAGAATTTCACTTTGAATTTGAAAACCTCTGTCACTTGCTACCTCTTGGAATACCCGTTCTCATCTGCCAGACACCAGACCTTGTTTCAGAAAAAAAGAGAAGGCTGCTAAAAGGACAGAGAGGGATGATGCTGAAGTAAACTAAGACCACAGAAGAGCCTGTAAAATATGAAGTAGCATAGAAATTATTTTTTTTTAAAGTGCAAGGTATATTGACTGCTGAAGTGTGCAAGAGCAAGTGGCCCCGAACTACCTATCTGCATTTAAGCAGGGAAAAAATAGACAATTGCTACAGCCCAAGGAAGGGGGAAGACAGATAATCAAGTCATTGTGGCTATGGGTTCAGAGCATTGTGGGAGAGCACTTGGAGAACTGCCATCACAGCAGGTAGTAGATACAAACCCACAAGTAATGTAGACTGAAGTTTACTGCTGATAAACCTATCAGGAGAAGGAGGAAAAATAATTACTTATTTTTAGTCCATAAATCTATAAATAGACAATATAGTGGAACCCAGATGTTTTTACTACATTGCAACCAGTCATACTATGAAGGAAACCTTCCTGTAGACAAGCTTTCAACACAGTTTTGACCAACTGAGGCTGAAAGCTGGCTTCTAGGTCTGGATGCTTCACTATTTCTTCCCTTCTTTCTCCTCAGATTCTAAAGCAGTCCCTGCTCTTGTTCCTTCTGAGCAGTCGGTACAACATTATTTTAGTTACACCGAGAAATTATAAATTTGTGGTGTACATGCCTGTTAATCCCTTTGGATGTCCTCTGAATAGTTGAATCCTGCTTTTCTCCTCTGTCATTGCACTTACGAGAATTAACGTCTTGGGCAAGCCGCATTAGAAAGACATGAGCAAGGTAAACCTTGCTAGAAGAGTAAAAATCTGAATATTGTTATGTTACTTACTTCAATGCAAGTACTCTATATCCAATTACACCTATGTTTGTGCTCTGCTAGAAAAGGCATTTTTATCTACTATCGCTAAGGGAAATAGAAAAGAGAGACTACAAAGCATTAAATTTAAAGTACTCAGGTTTGTCATCTCTCACACCTACAGGAAAACATTCTTCAAAATCTTAACTGTTTCCTGTATACAGTGACATGGAGGCCTGTTGGTATTTCTTTCTAGTTTTGCTGTTTTTTCTGTAAATAATTTTCTGTCTGAGGTACTTTAATGGAGAATGCAGAATTCTGATGAAAGCTTTTGATTTGGAACACAGACAGAGTAAATGCATCTTGGTTTTTCGTGTATGCAAAGAACCTTGCTAGACTTAGAAATAACTTGGCCACTTTTTTAGTTCATAGCCTGTACCGTTCTGTGCAGGTATCTGGTGTTTTCTGATGTCAAGAATAGTATAAGTTGAAAAACTAGTTTGTTTTGATTGGTTTAGCACAGAAGAAAGAAAATCAGTTGGCTTATGTTATTTATCTATTATTTAATGAACGTATTTTATCTTTACAGACTCTGGGGAATATTATGGAAATGCGCCAGGATTGGTAACTTTTTTTCTTGAAATCTTTAAGTCCACTGTTTTTTATAGAGTATGCATTATTTATTAGGATAATATTTCCATGTGGCAATGAAACCCATACTCCTACATGATCTTTAAAAAACTGAGGTTTTACCTCCATGAAATATAATAGGGGAAGGGACACAGGGTATCACTGTCTTGTCATGGAAGCCTACGATTTCTGATGTCAGTTCATATCTAGAATCACAGAATTGTTTAGGTTGGAAATGACCTTTAAGATCATCAAGTCCAACTCTTAACTATCACTGCCCACTCTACCACTAAGCCATGTCCCTGAG